TGATAGTTTAAACATTTTATTATTTCTTAACACTAAACTTGTTCCGGGGAAATGTGAAACACATATCTCGCATAGTTTTTTATGTTTAAACTCGCTTATTTGTATATTATCAACAACAATTTTCTGACAATGCTAATTAAGTTTAAAGACTATTTTTTTCTAGGAATGAGACTCTTGTATATTTTCTTGAGGCAGAAAAATTATAATTTGAACAGCTCTCACCCTGCATATGCATAAGTTTTTCTAAGAAAAAAAGTAAATTTGTTAGAAAAACAGCAGGATTTTTAAAACTTTTGCAAGGACGGTGTTTTAGGGATAGCAAAAGCTGCATACAATAATTTCAAACAATTAGTAATTTTTTTCATCTATACAATGTATTTCCTATGTTTGAAATAAACTAAAAAACTTGAAAAATTAAAAACAGAAACAACCTTAGAGTCAAAAAAATCAGAAATTTTTTTAATAAAAACATCTTTATTATTAATTTTTTGCAAACTTTTTTATGAGGAAGAAAAGTTGATTTTAACTAATCACTTTTACTTGTTTAAGAATAATTATGTTTGTTTGACAATGTTTCTGATTTCAATTAGGAAATTGCTTTAGGAAACTTATTTAAGAATAATTCTGTTTGTTTGACAACATTTCTGATTCCAATTAGAAAATCGCTTTAGGAGACTTGTTTAAGAATAATTTTGTTTGTTTGACAATGTTTCTGAAATTAGATTCTAAATAAAAAGAGTCAATTTAAATTAAATAGTATAAAAAATTATTCTGAAACTTAAATTTTTGTAAAAAATAAAAAATAACATTAATTATAATAAAGTATACAAAATTACAAAAACAAAATTATTTTTTAGTCTTAACTTATAAATTATTTAGTTTATAATAAAACAAAATTTTCATGTGATACAAAGACATAAGTTAAGCAAATATACAAATTTGTATAATAAAAATGAATGAAAAGAAAATTTAAAAATGCAATGAAAAAATGAAGATATCTAAACAATTCTATACTTACCTAAATGGACCACAACAAGAAGTGGAGATTCTAAATTATATTAAATATATAACATCTAAATAATATTTTATTTGTAAAATTTATTTAACAACTTAAAAATACAAAAGAAAAAGATAATATATATATATATATATATATATATATATATATATATATATATATATATATATATATATATATATATATATATATATATATATATATATATATATATTATCTTTTTCTTTTAAATACAAAAGAAAAAGATAATATATATATATATATATATATATATATATATATATATATATATATATATATATATATATATATATATATATATATATATATATATATTAGGGTGCCTCAGCATGATAGAATTTTCAAAACAAAAATTGGTATCTTGTTAAATTTGGTGCAAATATATAGAAAATAGGTTTTAAAACATACTGGTCACTTTCTGACCATTCTAGACCCTCCCTCAAAGCTCATTTTTGTAAAAAAAAAATGTCACTTTTTTTTATTAAAAATTGCAGATTTCTGTGATGTTTAAGGAGGGTCTAATATAAACCAATTTGGCTGAATTAAAAAAAAATATTTTGCTTTTAAAATCGTATGTATATTTGTTTTTGTTTTATTACCGAGCATTTATTATTCAAATTTTCCATAAATTTGCAAAATTTATGATTATTGTTATGATATTAAGAAAGCATTTGGAGTATACAAATACATTTATTCTAACATAATAAAAAAATTTTTTGGTTAAAAATATTGTATATTGCTTGCTACTTTTATTAGTTATGTATTTGAAGGTAAGTTTCCTTGACATTCTTCCATCACTCTCCGCCTGCCATTTCTTAAAATAAAATAAATAGCAAACCATTGCACTTCATGTTCTTTTACTAAAGTTTCATATGAATTTATTTTCAAATAAAAGAAGAGCCACTACATTAATTTAAAATTTGAAATTTACATTTTTGATTTTAAAATTTTAAAATTTAAAATAAAAATTTAAGTATGAGTTATCAGAAACACAAGATTTTGCGCAATAACATTTTAAGATCTTCTAAAAAGATTTTTCATATTATTGATAAAGCTACACCTGCTATTTCAGGTGTGTTGCATAGAAATAAAAATAATGTACAGTTATTGATTTGGTTTTGTGATTTGACTTTGTATTTGCCTGAAAAGACGTCATGGTCACTAAAACATATTTACATCTCAATATCAACACCAACCCATCACACTATTATACTCTGTAAGATAAATAATGTGCGCTTATTTATACTATTTATATAGTATTGGTAATTCTATTTTAATAAACACCTATATGGTTTAAGAACACAACTTACAACGGGTATCAATCAAATTTGCCAAATGGAATTACAAAAAAGTTGGAAATTCTATATTGCACTCCAAAGTCAAACTTAAAGGTTGATAGGAGCCAACTAGTTGAATGTGAATGTAATATGGTGAAAATAAAACATCCATGGATTAAAGCAGGATATTTCCAGTTATTAGCAACGTAAATATTCAAAAAAGTTTAATAAATCTTGAGCAAAAATATTCTAATTTATTAAAGAATGTCAAAAGAAACTCAAAAAAAGATATCAAAAATTATATAGAATTTGAAAATTTTGTTTAAGATATTTTTTGGATAGGAATTCCAGAACTAAAAGAATTTATTTAAAGTGACAAGCTAAGATCAAATGAATGTAAAATCAAAGATTTAAAATTCTTAGAAGATCAAGAAGGTCCAAGATAATATCATTTGGGTCCTCTAGACACTAAATATACTAAGAAAGTAATTTGATTATGTTTTGGTTGTGAGAATTTGCATAATGTAAGTTTTATTTTTTTAAATGTTTAGTCATTTTTGCGTCAGATCTTAATTAAATGATGCTCTGAAGGTAGATGAACTATTGAGTTACTTTACTATATGGAGTGAAGCAATAGTATATAAAATATTGATTTAACTTTATTTTGTTTTTGGACTTATACTATGTTGATTATCATCCACATATTTAGTTTTTAAATAATATACTCTTTATAGTTTGATAAATTTACTAAATATGCTTTAACTTTGTGTTTTTGTCACTCTAACAACTTATAACTAATAAATTCATTTTTATATAAGGTAAAACCATTAAATATAAAGAAGTACAAAAATGCAATGAAAAATGAATCACCGAGTAAGATCTTAAAAATTTACGAAGGAGACGTTAGCAGTAATGATGAACTAGGTTCAGATAACTTTTCTGATTCTGACTTCGAGCCAGGTGAATGGATAAAAAGAAAAAATAAACCAAGCAGTACAAAAATTCGGGCCAACATATTCCTAAAGATATTTATTCTGGAATTGTTGCTTTAATGTCAACTGTTAATAACATCTCTCCTATGGTTCTGCAGAGAATTACAACGGCGATTGTTCAAGCTGCAGGAGTAGACATGAACGCCATCAAATCAAGTCTCTCAGCTGCAGCTGGAAGAATGAAAAGAGATAAAGAAATTTCAAATATTGATAAAGAAATTTCAAATATTGCTAAAAGAAATAAAAAAATTTCAAATATTGCTAAAGAAAATATTAAAACAAAAGTACGTTTATCTACATTCCCATGTAAAGTTCATTTTGATGGAAAAACTATACTTAAGACAATTAAAAGAAAGAAACTAAAATGCGAGCGACTAACTGTAATAGTAAATATTAATGGCAAATCACAATTATTGGGTATGCCTTCTTTACCATCCTCTTCAGGAGACAATCAATATAAAAAAATAATGCAGTTGCTAGATGAATATGGTATTAAATCAAATGTTGGTGGATTGTGCTTTGACACAACAGCAACAAATACTGGCATTACGAAAGGGACTGTTAATAGAATTACCTATGATTTAGGTAAATACATTATCCAGCTTGCTTGCAGGCACCATGTTACAGAATAAGTCATTTTTAGAAACATGTTACTCATGAAGAAAAGGTAGGACCAGAAAATCTTTTTTTTTAAAAAGATTGAGAAATAAGTTTGACAATCCAGAGTTTCATTACAATCCTGAAAACATATTAAGGTTTGATTGGTAATTAAAGGCTGGTACTGTAGTCAAAAAAGCAGCAACAGCAACATTTTTCTTTTTAATGTATTTTTTTGCACTTAAATATTGCAAAAAAATACATTAAAAAGAAAAATAATGCTAGGAAAGACAGAAAAGAACTAGCAGAGCTTGTAATTATTTATCAAAAACAGGATTAAAAAACAGGTTAAAATAGAAAAACCAGGTGCAGTTCATCATGCAAGATTTTTTAGCTCAACTCTTTATTTTACAAAGTTACATCTGCTATCTAAACAACAAGATTTTTTGATAAATGAGAAAGATGTAAAAACTCAAGTAGAACAAATTGTGGAGTATATTTGTTGTTTTTATGCTCCATGGTGCTTGCAAGGCCACAATCCTATTAAAGCCCCATAGCTTGATATTACAGCTCTACATCAAATGACTCTGAATCAGGGCTGGCGCAAGGGCCATGCGAATTATGCTGTCGCATAGGGCATCAGCATGTTTGGAGCGCCACGCTGGTGCTGCTGACATTTTCTTATCTATTAAATTTTTTTTTAAAATCATAATTTTGATTTAAAAAACATAAACCTAAGTAAAATTTTTGGCGTCCATAATATGTACTAGTAGTAAGCTGTTTATTAGGAGCGCCAAATTTTATGTTACGCTATTAACATTGTACACTTTTGCTCAGCTCTTCAATAAAAATATAGTAAGATAATGTAGTAGTGAGTTAATAAAAAGACTTAGCAGTGAGTTAATTGTTTATTTAAATCGTATTTTTTGTCAGATAATTGTTAAATGTTTATTTTAATTGTAAATTTATGTTAAGAGGTGCCATAGTTTAATTTTTAAACTATGATTAAACTATTGATTTTGTATCTATTTGCTCTGCACTTCAATGAAAAAATAATTACAGCAAAAAGTAGTATATTTTTAGTTTTTTTTTAGAGAAAACAAAAATCAGGTATGGAGAGAGAAGATAAAAAAACAAGCAAAGACATTGAATAAATTGGTCCAAACAACAATCAGCATTAATTACAGATAAGATTTGATATAAGAGAGCATTTATTACTATCAAGTTATTTGATAAACACAAAACAATATTAATTTAGAGAGCTAATAGATTACTGTTATTTATGCATTTATTGTTCTATTTTTATGTTATTTTTTTGATGTTGGGTGTTGGGTTTATATTTAACCATTTTTATAAATCATAAAAAACAGAAACTAAAACAACTTGTACTCTAGGAGAAGAAGACCTCAAAAACCTGTACTCTAGGAGAAGAAGACCTCAAAAACTTGTACTCTAGGAGAAGAAGACCTCAAAAACTTGTACTCTAGGAGAAGAAGACCTCAAAAACTTGTACTCTAGGAGAAGAAGACCTCAAAAACTTGTACTCTAGGAGAAGAAGACCTCAAAAACTTGTACTCTAGGAGAAGAAGACCTCAAAAACTTGTACTCTAGGAGAAGAAGACCTCAAAAACTTGTACTCTAGGAGAAGAAGACCTCAAAAACTTGTACTCTAGGAGAAGAAGACCTCAAAAACTTGTACTCTAGGAGAAAATTCACACTCTCAAGATTTATAAAGCATTCTTGATGAAGCGCAATGAAGGCAATGAAGCGCGATGAAGGCGATGAAGTGCGGGAGTTGAATCTTTTGCTGTATAAGAGCAAACTAATTTCAAGTCAAGTTCACTATTTTCATTTAAACCTTTTTTTGATATAAGAAATTGATTACAAATACAGTACAAAGATTTGTTTTAAAACAAAACCTTAAGCTTTATATCCTCTCTTTGTATTGTGCAATTTCTTGGTACTCAAGAATTAGCTTTTTGTGGAACAAGTGTAACAGTTTACAATAATAACAATAAAACTTTTTAAAATTGTTGATAACATTTCAAAATTTGATGCTGTTCTTTTGAATATCTTCATCTGATAAAGAAACTTATGTACATTATTAATAGAGTTAAAAATTTCTGGTAGTTTTTAGGGAAAT